TGGATAGCTATTGACTCCTTTTTTAGGAACCCCAGATGGGAAGCAAGAGCTAACTCATTGCTTTCTTCTCCTGACTCACTTGGACCTCCTCCTCCTCCTCCTCATTCATCCTCCCATTTGGTTCTTGATTAGATGCTTAGAATTGGACCAACGATCTAATTTGACAAGCCGGGTTGGCTGGAAAGATAATCCAGAAAGGAAAATCCTCTTAACTCAGCCCAAAGCTCTTCTTCGAGTTTATGGGACAACTTCTCACCAAGATTTTCTGGTTCCCCAAATAATCCAGTGATGGCATCAGGCAAGCATCTCTCTCCCCAGTTTAATATTGTACACTACTGTAAAGCTTCTCAGTTTTTGTTTCTAGAACTGTCTAAGCAGTCACAAAAGGGGGAAGAAAGCCTTTTCTCTCCTGCTAGGTGGCCTCTAATGATTCTCTCAACCATCCCCCAAAAGGTGTGGCTTAGAGTTGGTCATGCATCCTGTCAAGGTCTGTCTTGGCTGCTATAATGGGCAGGTTACTTGCTTAGGAGGCCACAAAGCACATCTGTAGGCTAGGGATCTGGGGGCCCAAGTGTAGAACCTGTTCCTCACCTCCACGCCTAACACAGAGGGTGGAGGCTTAGAGAGCCCGAGATCTTCAAGACTTGAAGAGCTCTACTCGGCTCCAGCAGAGCTCTGAGAATAGGACATCCACATCTTTAGGTTCCTGGACGACCCTGCCTCCTTCCAGCTCCCCCTAGGGCTCCAGTGGGGAAAGGAAAAGGAAAAGCAAGCGAATAGAGCCGGGGCGCTCCCTTCCTCCTCCCTCTCCCTATAGCGGCTAGCTAGGTCTCGGCGTCTTCCGTCCCGCGGCCCTGCGCACAAGCCAGTCAGGTAGCCCCCCGCCCCCGCCCCGAGCGGTTTGGAACTGCGAGCGGGCATGATCTGCCCTAGGCCTGGCCTCCTTGGGCCCGCATCGCCCTCCCCCTTCCATCCCCTCCGCTCCGGCAGCGATGACATCATTCTTCCCTGACTCCGGGACTGCGGACAGGCGGTAGGATCGGCGCCCAGCAAGGACTCTAAGCACGTAGGCCTAGGATGCTGGGGGCTCTTCCAAAAGGTGGGCACAAGCGGCTCCAGCGCGGCCCCGCCCCCTCTCCCGTCGGTTCCGTAGCTCTCTTATCAGCGTCCCTGACTCTCTATCTCACCGCAGCGCTCTCTCCTCCCCGGCTCCCGTACCGCCAGCTTGGACTACCTGCGTTCTTCTCAGGAGAAGAACGGAATTCCCGGGTCCTGCACCCACCCACTACCTCTACGGGTCCCTGCGCCATCCATATCCAGAAAACTGGCGGGCAGGCCCCTCCTCCTCCACAAGCCTATTCCCAGTCCCTCATAGCCCTACTGCTCTCCGGCCCCATCCCCCGCCTTGAGCATCACAGGCCTCCAGGGCTAAAAGCCTCCGCACCTCTCACGCAAGCCCACTGGGCCTGACGCCCGCGGTGTCCTATGGCAGTTCCCTTCCTTTCCCAGCTACGGGCCTCCGTTAGTGGTGTGCACCATTGTGCGCCGTTCGGTTCCATCCGACGGCGCTCCCCGTGGCTCCCTTGGCCTGCCTCCTCAGACGGTGCCCTCCATCCTTACAGGCCCCTTTGCTGTCACCCCGCGTATTCTCCCACGGTTTTCTTGTCCTGCAGCTTCCCCCTCCCCGGTGATGCGTTTTCGAGGTTTTCTTGGCTCCATCCAAACGTGTCCCCTCCTCACAGCCCCCAAGGCCTGATTCTCTCTTCCCTGCCCCGGCCTGTCCACCGCCCGCCCCCTCACCAGCGGCTGCATCTCCGAGTGCGCGGTGGGCACCTGGAACCGGTCGATCTCCTCCATCATGGTGCCAGCGAGCGAGCGGGCCCGGGGCCGGGCGCGGCTATGGACGCCGACGGGACCTCGCGGGGCGGTGGCCCCAGGAGCCGGGTGGGTGGTGCAGCCTAGGCCGCCCCAGACGAGTCAGGCGAGCAGGCAGCCGAGCAGATCGACGGGTGGGCGCGGGGCGGGAGGTTCACTGGTGGGCTGAGGCCGGCGTGGCTCTGTGGGCTTGCCTAGCACTCCCGCGGCTGTGGCGGGACAGAGCCGCAGGTCTGGCCTCGCCTCCTCCTCCGCCGCCGCCTCCTGTCAGCAGCTCAGCCACTGCGGTGACTCGGCAACTCCACTTCCGGGTCCGGGACACCGCCTGAATCTACATTATTCATGAGGAGGCGGTGCCTGGACGCCCCAGCCCCTCCCACATGCAGGAGTTCCAAACGCGAGGGGCCGCGAGTGGCACTATTCCTGAGGGGGCGGGGCTTAGTGGAGCCCGAGGTTCCTCGCACGCCCAGACCCTCCTCCACCTTGAGTCGGGCGGGGGCGTCAGAGGCGCCTGCGCCTTGGCTGCAGGTTGGTTGCTGGGTAACCGCGTCAAGGAGGAGCCGTGTCCATCCTGAAAAGGCGCGGGGACCCGCAACGACTGCTGTCCCAAAAAACCCCAGCGACTGGGAATTGAAGTGAAAGGGATTCCGGATTTTCTGTACGTGATCGAGGGTACGGACAAGCTTCTTGTCTTCAGGCGAGGGAGCGCTTTGTAGACGCTCCAAGTGTTGAGGTGTTTCCTGCTTCTTTGAAGATGTCCCCGAAACTGCAGCATCGTAGGCAGGTAATACAGATAACAACTTGCCCTCTCTCGATGAACTCTGACCTTCACCACCAATGACCACTGATCATACCTCTCCAACTGATTCTTCGTCTTCCTTTCCCTGTTAACCTCTAACCTTCTCTCTCCTTGTGACCCTTGGCCTTTGTTCCCACCGACCTCTGACTCTATCCTGCTCTCTTCCACTAATCTTAACCTTCTCCCCGACACTGCCCTGACTCACTGTTTCCTACTTCTTTTTCACTTACCGCTCACCACGCCATTCCCTCACTCCACAGACCCATGCTGACCAGCCCATTCTCCTTAACTGCCTACCCCCACTCCTACCAACACGTTCCTCATTGCCCTCATATTCTTGTCCCAAAGAAATTATTTTTCCAGCCCTTTGCTGTGTGCCCAGAGCTGGGCTACGTGGAGACACAGGTCTTTAGGAGCCCACAGCGGGAGTACAGGAGACAGGACAGATTATGTGCCAGATTTTGGTTTAGATTTTCTGTGCTGAGAGACTTGTAAGGAGAGAGAGGTCATGTAAAGAGGAAGAGAAGAGAGATCCCTTTCCCATCCCTGGCCTCACTTTAACACACTGCACAGTCCAAACACTGCCCCTAAACTATTTTTGGAGCCTCATATGTCTCACTTCCTTACGAGTCCCTGGTCCACTCCTGTGACCCATCCAGCCATGTAAACATTGTGTCCTTGTTGCCAACTGGCCAGATGTCATCCCTTTTTACAGGAAACCCAAGAGTCAGTCCCCCTTACCCATCCAGCACAGAGCACTGCTTTCCTCTCCAGTATCACCCTGAAAGGTGAAGTAAAGTCCAGATTCTTGAGGAGCTCTCTGTGGTGAGTCCTTTAAGAATCACTTTTTCCCAAAGCTTTTATGAATTATCACCCTGAGACTAATATGCAGTTTCTGGTTCTGTGAGGCAGGACTTCTATTTATCTATTCGAAATGTTCCTCTCTTAGGCCTAGGTATTTTGAGGTTTGGAGAGCAAATCTGTGTCCATGCTGGTTATGATTTTACATATTTTGGTGGGCTCCTCCATATTAGCCTTTGTTCCTTTGCTTCTTTCACCTGGCCTTCCATAGCAGGTGGAATCATCTTTCTTAGATCTCTGCAACCATGGAGAGGATGTTTTTCCCATATGGCCATGCCCTAGCTTTATGTCAGGGTCAAGCTGCATTTTGAGGTTCATGTACTGTGTGCTTGGGCCTACTGACTCTTAATTTACATGCAGTTTTAAATTCAGCATTACTGAGATCTGGTTTACATACAATGAAATGGACCATTTTAGTTGTACATGTTGACAAGTTTCAACAAATTTATACATTTGAGAACCACCACAACGATCAAGATGTAAGACACTTCCACCCTGAAAAGTTCCTCTGTGCTTCATCTCAGTCAGTCTTCCTGAACACCCCTAGCCCCAGGTAACCACTGACCTGCTTTCTGTCACTATGGTTTAGATTTGTCTTTTCCAGCACCTGCAGTTTGAACAAGCTTGCGGATCAGTTTTTCCAGCCCATTAGGGGAGATGTTAGAGGCTAATTATACTGAGAGCAGAGAGAGGTAGCAGCAGACAGGAAGCAGAGAAACTTGGGCCAGCTTGCTGTCCCCCTCCCAGGGAAGGGTAGTACAAAATAAATATTGGTGTGTGGGGGTATGAGAAAAGGCTGGGTTGTGTTAGGTTGTATTATCACCTTCTTGTCTCAGTGAATCCCAGTCTGGATCAGTGATGAGCTGAGTGTGGGACAACCTAGAGAGGTTTGAGAAGTTGTCTCTGGGAGCTCAGTCCAATGAGGGGAAACAGAACTGAGGCATACAAAGATAAGGGAGGATGGAATCCCTGGAGCTGAGAAGGAGACATGCGAGTTGGAGCAGCAGAAAAGCTTCGGGGAGGAGGCAGCTACAAGCTGAATGTCTGCAGTGGAGAGGTAAGGTCAGGGTTGGGTTCGTTAGTGGACAGAGAAGAGTCTAAATTCCATTGCTCATGTCACTTCACTCATCAGACCTTTCAATTGCTCCCTCTTACTCTTAGGATAAAGTCCCAAAAGTCCGACTTGCTTTATATGGCCTGCAGGGCCTTGCAAGGTCTATCTAGCCTTTGCTACCCACCCTATTTTAGATCTCACCATTTCTCTGTGAAAAGTCCACAGCCTCAGTACACTGAACTGTCCTCACTTCTTGGAAAGTGATATCCACACTCACTTTCTCCTCTAGGCCTTTGCAACTGATGTTTCCTCTGCCTGCCTGGTACAGTCTTTTCTGTCTGTTACCATGTGTTCCATGCCACTCTACCCCAAATCTGTCCTTCATTTCTTGCTTACACATCGGATCTGAGCTTGGCTGCCATATTCTCCTACAAGGGATTAAGTACCCTTTCAGGAGGCAGGATAGGGTGATGTTCCCACTAGATCAGGGATCCCCAACCCCCAGGCTGAAGACCAGTACCAGTCTGTGGCCTGTTAGGAACCAGGCTGCACAGCAGGAGGTGAGCGGTGGCCAGTGAGCAAAGCTTCATCTGTATTTGTAGCCACTTCCTAGCTCTAGCATCACTACCTTAGCTCCACCTCAGATCATCAGGCATTAGATTGTCATAGGAACATTGGTCCCTGGTGCCAAAAATATTGGGGACCACTGCACTAGACTATCAACTCTGTGATGGCAAGAATCATGTTTGTCTTGTTCATTGTTGATTCCCCTGAACCTGACACAATGCCCAGAATATATCAAGTTCTGAAAATGAGTTGAATATGAATTCTGAATGCCTTAAGCTGTTTTTTGGAAATTTCACTCTGAGTGTGTAGGATAGGAAGGAGCCTGGAATGGGGAGGAATGTAGAGAGGGAGGATAACAAGGAAATGTCACAGTAGAAGCATGTTTTTCCAGGTTCACATTAATATCTGCTTTGGCAGTAGGGCTATGAATGATCCACATTTGAACCACATATACCCATGCCTTAAAAGCTGGGTATTGGAGATTAAGAGGTCAAAAGTTCTGATGATGAAGAGCCATTCTCATTTAACAGTTAGTTGCTGAGTACCTACTGTGTGCCAGTACTGTTCTAGGTATTAGTGATAGAGCAACAGACAAAAGAAACAAAAACCCCCGCTCTCACGGAGCTTAACTTTTAGTTAGAGGTAAATTGTCAATAAACAAAATATATAGTTTATCAAATGGTGTAGTAGGTGTCGAGAAGAAAAATAAAGCAGGGAAAGATGGACTAGGAAGTTCAGGGAATCAGAAGATTATGATTTAAATATAGTGGTCAGGGAAGGCCTTGCAGTGTTGACATTTGAGAAAGACCTCAAGGAAATGAAAGAGTTAGCTATGTGGTATCTTGGGAGAAAGCATTCCAGACAGAGGACACAGCAAGTGTAAAGTACCTGAGATGGGAGCTAGCTACACATGTTCTGGATCAGCAAGGAAGGGGCCAGAGGGAAGTGGCCTGAAATAAGGTCAAAGAAGTGCATCCCTCTACCCCAAAGGGTTAATCAAATAACCCATGGCATATTAAATTGATCACGATGGAGCTCCATGATTCATAATTTGTCATTAAAATGCATGAATGTCAGGCACCATAAACCATGATCAGCTCAAAACATCAGTGGTAATGCCCCAATAACAAAGTGTCCTTCCTGAAAATTGCAAGAATTCTAACTGGCTGCATGTGTATATGTGCAGTAGGAGCTTTGCAACATTGCCAGATCTTGCCTGGCAGCCAGACTTCTTAGTAGAGAACTGAATTAGAGTCTTCTGTGAACTCCAGTTAAAAGCTAATTTTAGTTTATGACTAACAAATTTTAGTACTCCTTTATAACTCAGTTGGTTACCATAAAAAAAAAAAAAGTTTGGAATTTTTGCATCATTTGCCTGTAAGAGCCAAGGAAAAGACTTGCATTTTGGATCATTTTGTGGTCTCTCCAGAGGCCCCTCTGAGACAATACTTGTAGAAATATTAATTCTGATAAGGGGTGACTAGGATAGGGGCAAGAAGGCAGGATTAGGTGCAAGGCCAAAAGAAAGTCTTAGATAGTACAGAGATTTTGAGTCTTGTATCTGGGCCTGAGATCCATAGAAGAAAGGACAGGAGGGGGTGAACAGAATCTAAAGGAAGTTCATGTGTTTCTGTATGCACAAAGTAAGATATCCTCACTCTCGTGACCCTTCTTAATGTCACCTTTATACCTCCTATCTTCCTCAAGCCCTAAATATAATCCTTTGACCCTATACCTCTCAAATATCTCTTGAATCAAACCACTTTTCTTATATTCGCTGCCACCTGCTTAGCCCAACCCACAATCATCTCTCACCCAGAGTGCTGTAAAAAAGCCTTATAACTGGTATTCCCCTCACTCACTCATGCCCCTTACAGTCCATTCTCTACACTACACCAAGTTATCTGTTCAAACTCAATCTGATTTTGTCATCCTCTACTCAGAACCCTTCAGTATCTTCCCATTGCTCTTAGGATACGTACCAAATTTTTAGATCACCATTCGAATGCCTGTATGTGCTAAGGCTTGCTTGGGTCTCTAAGCCTTAACTTGTACAACTCTCTCTCTGTTTTGCTGTACTTCAGTTCTATGTGCTGTCCCCTCTTTCTGGAACACTCTTCACATGTCCCCTC